GTTGTTGTATTAGTGCTGATGCCCTTATATTGTATGTTTTAATGTGTGCTTTGCTCTGCTCTGTTTGATTGGATCTGCTGCCTTGCAGTAACATTAACATCTTTGCCGAGGGTCAAACCATAGGCTCAGATTAAATACACTGAATGCCACGCTCACAAAACATCAGTAAGCTTGATAGAAAGTATCTAGGCTTGTCACCATTTATTACTCCAGTCTGAATTGTGAGGTATTTGTAAGTGTACATGTGTTTCTTTTTAGTACAATAGCATTGTTGGAGTCCTGAATAGTACATTGCTCAAAAAAATTAAAGGAACACTTTGAAAACACATCAGATCTCAATGAGTAAAAAATATCATGCCGGATATCTATACTGATATGGACTTGGCAATGTGTTAGGATGCCCCATCGTTTGATGGAAATGAAAATTATCAACCTACAGAGGACTGAATTCAAAGACACCCTGAAAATCAAAGTGAAAAAAATGATGCAGCAGGCTAGTCTATTTTGCTGAAATTTAATTGCAGCAACTCAAAATGGTACTCAGTAGGCTGTATGGCCCCCACATGCTTGTATGCATGCCTGACAACATCGGGCCATTCTCCTAATAAGATGACAGATGTGTCCTGGGGTATTTCCTCCCAGACCTGGACCAGGGCATCACTGAGCTCCTGGACAGTCTGAGGTGCAACCTGGCAGCGTCGGATGGCCCTAAATATGATATTCTATTGGTGTTCTATTGGATTTAGGTCAGACAAGCGTGGGGGCCATTAATGGTATCACTTGCTTCATCCTCCAGGAACTGCCTACATATTCTCCCACATGAGGCCTGGTATAATCGTGCACCAGGAGGAACCCAGGACCCACTGCACCAGTGTAGGGTCTGAAAGTGGGTCCAAGAATTTAATCCCGATACCTAATGCCAGTCAGGGTACCATTGTCTAGCCTGTAGAGGTCTGTGCACTCCTCCATGGATATGCCTCCCCAGACCATCATTGACCCACCACTAAAATGGTCATGCTGAATGTTACAGGCAGCATAATCTTCTCCATGGCTACTCCAGACCCTTTCACATTTGTCACATATACTCAGGGTGAACCTGCTCTCATCTATGAAAAGCACAGGGCGCCAGTGGTGGACCTGACAATTCTGGTGTTCAGGGGCAAATGCCAATCAAGCTAATGGTGCCGGGCAGTGAGCACAGGGCCCACTAGAGGATGTCTGGCCCTCGGGCCACCCTCATGAAGTCTGTTTCTGATTGTTTGGTCAGAGACATTCACACCAGTGGCCTGCTGGAGGTCATTTTGTAGGGCTCTGGCAGTGCTCATACTGTTCCTCTTTGCACAAAGGAGCAGATACCGTTCCTGCTGATGGGTAAAAGACCTTCTACGGACCTGTTCAGCTCTCCTAGAGTAATTTCCTGTCTCCTGGAATCTCCTTCATGCTCTTGAGACTGTGCTGAGAGACACAGTAAACCTTCTGACAATGGCAAGTATTGATGTGCCATCTTGGAAGAGTTGGACTGCCTGTGCAACCTCTGTAGGGTCCAGGTATAGCCACATGCTACCAGTAGTGACACTGATCCTAGCCAAATGCAATACCAATGAAAAACAGTCAGAAAAGATGAGTAGGGAAAAAAATGTCAGTGGCCTCCACCTGTAAAGTCATTCCTTTTTTGGGGTCGTCTCATTGTTGCCCATCTGGTGCACCTGTTGTAAATTTCATTAACAGCAAAGCAGCTGAAACCGATTAACAACCCCCTCTGATGCTTAACTGACAAGATCAATATCCCAGGAGTGTAATTGACTTGATCCTATACTCTGATTAAAAAGTGTTCCTTTAATTTTTTTGAGTAGAGTATTTTCAAATGTTGATTGTTTAAGGCCTAATGCAAACAGGTCTTTTTTTCCTCCCCTGGATGCCTTTGCTCCTGGCAGGAAAAAGCAGCGTAAAAAAGTGCCTAAAGCCAGTTTTTACAGATGCATTTCGGCACGTTTAGACATCTTTATGCAATTCAAATGTTTGGCATTTATTAATTCCATTGGCCAGAATATGAATTATTCTGGCCATTGGAATGAATGAACTCTCAATTGCTAAACGTGACTAACCTGAAACGTACTTCTAAATTGTCGCAGGTCAGCTGTAAAGCTAATCTGTCAACTATTGTTCCACAGATATACAAGGCCAAACCATTCCCTTTAGTTAAGCCTGTATTTGAAGTTCCACTGAATTAAAGTTTCCTATCTGGTTGCTGAATAGGACTGAGAGCTATGGGAGTTGTCGCACTTCATGTGACAATTAATGCAGCCAGTCTCCTCCCAGTCTGGTAAGTTGTTTCCCATTTAAGCTGTGCTCACTGTTAAACCTATGCTTGAGCAACAGCATGTATTTTGGGCTCTAGACATCCAATGTTCCTTGAAAGTTCTAAGTTGCCCCTGTGCACTTCAGTATTCCAGTTTCCTAACATCCCTGATAATTTATGAGTCTTCCAAGTGCCTCCCCATGTGCCTCCCCATATGTCTCCAGTGACTCGCAGTGCTCTGCATGCTCCAGTGATCCTCAGTATCCCCCATGTTTAAGATATCTCTCACATCTCAGCTACCCAGCTTCTTTCACTCCAGCACTTCTGTATCTTGTATACTCCCTGTGAGCTACCAGCATTCCTACCTATGGCCTAGTGAGCTTTTTGTTTAAGAAATACAGTATTTGAATTCCTCTTAGTCAGGTAAATAAGAACTATTGCATATCAACACTTTGTATTCTAATTTTGATCCAACAGGTGGAAAACTGAGCTGTGTTTCACATGTTTTCCTTGTTATCTTAATTTACTTTGCTGAGCTTTGCTGCATAAAATCTTTCCAGTGATTTCAGATTATTGCTAGAGATGCCAAGAGCCAGGTGGTACACATCTCCATCTGTGATGGCCATGTACCAAAATTAGGACGTTATTGAAGTCCATATTTGTATTAGGTCATTTGATAATGTGCAGAATGTGGCCAGAAACTCCAGAAGTGACTCTGCTGTCAATGTTTTCTGGGTCTAGCAAAATGGTAAAGAAGGGTTTGTTTTGCTTCCTAATTCTGGCGGGATGAGCGTTGATTCCCCAATATTGAAAATCATCTATTGTCCCTACAATTAGGGAATGGGTTGTTGAACTACATAACACTATGAGGATGGAGGAGGCATTGCCATTTCTCAAGTTATTTAACTTGCCTCCTACCTCCAGTAATTAAGGGTTTGCTCCCCCTCTTCTAGAAGTTAAAGATGGCATTCTACCACTCACCTTTACCATCTTCCCCTTGGCACTCAAACGTACATGTCTTTTGTGAAGAACTGGACCTGTGCCTGCTCTCATCCCTCATTATTTGTTGGATGTTTTTTCTTGCTTCATTGCTTCTAGAGAGCTGGCTTGTGACATCCCTCCAAACAGTTTACAACATTAATTTGGTTTACGCTTCACTGGGTGTTATTGTGATTTTGAAACTGTATCTGATAATTCTGCTTTGTAACATCTGATGGAAGTTGCTAATGTAATTTTCCCAGTATTGCTGTGCCACGTAATTAATAAATACATATTTTGAAAAAAAAATGTACTTTGCTGAAAAAATCTTGCTGCTTAGAGAGCTTAGTAGCTGAAGATGAAAAGAACAGTGACTCTTCTCATGCCCTCACCTTCCTTCCCTGACTTTTAATTAAGCTTTGCACAAGGTTTCGTTTAGAGAGATAGTCTAAATGGAAAGAAAATATTTCTGCTATGCTCTCCTTTACAAACCTCATATTCGTTTATTAATCCTGTGTCATTGGTGCATCCTGTAAAAAAAATATGAAAAACAAAGATTACGTGCATAGTAAACCAGATCCTAAATATCAGCTAAATTCCAGTATATAAACATTAAAAAATAAATGAAACATTGAGCCAAAACCATTTTTGTTTCCCTTTAACTTCAACATAAGCCCAAATCCTACCTCCTAAGATGAACCAAACTCCTAAACTGATATTCTTTTAATCTTCTTAAAAAAAACCACCAGAATAGGGTTTGGCAAACGTCAAAGGGTTTTGAAGGAAAATGTCGATTTTCTGGGCTAGGAAAAAGTTGACAAAAAAAAGTATAGGGGGTGGATACTGCCCTAAGGAATATCTAATAATGCAAAACAATTTTTTTTTTTTAAGTTTAATTAGCCTGGAGCAGTGAGTTTTTAAATGCTTAAAGTGAAACATTAAAATGCCCAATTCCTTTAAATTAGGGATTCACCAATGCCATATTTTTAAAAATGAGTACCAATACCTTTCTATCAGGTACTTTACTCACCAATACCAATTACAAATACCTATATTTTTTCCAGGGGGTTCACACAGGAGTGGTGTGGGAAACGGCCCATGATTTGGACAGGAATCACACTGCATTCATGTTCAAATAACATGTGATTCTTTTCAGTGCGATTTGAGCCATTCATTTTGTATGGACTCAAATCGCACCACAATGCACAAAAAAAGTATCGGTTTTAGTATTGGAGCACTTGCGCAAGTACAAGTACTACAAATGGTTAGTATCGACACCAATACTGGTATTGGTGCAAACCTACTTTAAATAACACACCGGGGGGGGGGTGCCCTAATCCTGCCTGTGAAGGGGTGCATTGCTTTTAATTTACAGTAAAGCTACTTTTGTAACCCTAACACTGGGTAAAATATAGATTACATAGAAAATAACAATTTTTGCAACAGTAGCCAAAAGAAAGTCTAGTTTACCCCAAAGCCTATTTTACCCCTAAAGAGAAATAAGATAGTTACTAGAGATGAGCGAAGTATTCAAAAATTCGATTCGGCTGATTCGGCGAATTCGAGGAATAAATTTGATTCGAGTCGAATATATTCGCTGCGAATTTAACTTATAAAAAGGGTGTTTCTAGGCTTCAGAGAGCCTTTATATTAGTGCAGAACACTGTACCTTTAATTTAAATGCCCTTGGAGTCTGCTGGGGAAGAGAAATAATACTGTCAGTCAGTATGACATGCAGATGAGTGCCGTCGATCTTAGAATCACCGCACACTTCACTCATTTGGGCAGTCACGGGGCCAAAACCAGAGTGTGGAGCCACAGTGTGGCGGTGGAGGCAGCAGCAATGGGAGGCCATACAGCACCCTATGACAAAATGGAACCCACCAGCAGTGTGAGGAGACCTGAAAGTGGCACATGGCAGAGTGTGGCGATGGAGACAGCAGCAATGGGAGGCCGTACAGGGACCCATGACACACTCTGGACCTGGCAGCAGCATGAGGAGGCGGTACAGGGGCCCATGACAGATTACGGGCCTGGCAGCAGCATGAGGAGTCAGTACGGGGGCCCATGGCAGATTACGGGGGCCCATGGCAGCAGCAGCAGCAATGGGAGGCCCGTAATCTGCCAGCACCCTATGACAAAATGGAACCCACCAGCAGTGTGAGGAGACCTGAAAGTGGTACATGGCAGAGTGTGGAGATGGAGACAGCAGCAATGGGAGGCCGTACAGGGACCCATGACACACTCTGGACCTGGCAGCAGCATGAGGAGGCGGTACAGGGGCCCATGACAGATTATGGGCCTGGCAGCAGCATGAGGAGTCGGTACGGGGGCCCATGGCAGATTACGGGCCTGGCAGCAGCAATGGGAGGCCCGTAATCTGCCAGCACCCTATGACAAAATGGAACCCACCAGCAGTGTGAGGAGACCTGAAAGTGGCACATGGCAGAGTGTGGCGATGGAGACAGCAGCAATGGGAGGCCGTACAGGGACCCATGACACACTCTGGACCTGGCAGCAGCATGAGGAGGCGGTACAGGGGCCCATGACAGATTACGGGCCTGGCAGCAGCATGAGGAGTCGGTACGGGGGCCCATGGCAGATTACGGGCCTGGCAGCAGCAATGGGAGGCCGTACAGGGACCCATGACACACTCTGGACCTGGCAGCAGCATGAGGAGGCGGTACAGGGGCCCATGACAGATTACGGGCCTGGCAGCAGCATGAGGAGTCGGTACGGGGGCCCATGGCAGATTATGGACCTGGCAGCAGCAATGGGAGGCCCGTAATCTGCCAGCACCCTATGACAAAATGGAACCCACCAGCAGTGTGAGGAGACCTGAAAGTGGCACATGGCAGAGTGTGGCGATGGAGACAGCAGCAATGGGAGGCCGTACAGGGACCCATGACACACTCTGGACCTGGCAGCAGCATGAGGAGGCGGTACAGGGGCCCATGACAGATTACGGGCCTGGCAGCAGCATGAGGAGTCGGTACGGGGGCCCATGGCAGATTACGGGCCTGGCAGCAGCAATGGGAGGCCGTACAGGGACCCTATGACACACTCTGGACCTGGCAGCAGCATGAGGAGGCGGGGAGGCCGTACAGGGGCCCATGACAGATTACGGGCCTGGCAGCAGCATGAGGAGTCGGTACGGGGGCCCATTGCAGATTACGGGCCTGGCAGCAGCAATGGGAGGCCCGTAATCTGCCACCACCCTATGACAAAATGGAACCCACCAGCAGTGTGAGGAGACCTGAAAGTGGCACATGGCAGAGTGTGGCGATGGAGACAGCAGCAATGGGAGGCCGTACAGGGACCCATGACACACTCTGGACCTGGCAGCAGCATGAGGAGGCGGTACAGGGGCCCATGACAGATTACGGGCCTGGCAGCAGCATGAGGAGTCGGTACGGGGGCCCATGGCAGATTACGGGCCTGGCAGCAGCAATGGGAGGCCCGTAATCTGCCAGCACCCTGTGACAAAATGGAACCCACCAGCAGTGTGAGGAGACCTGAAAGTGGCACATGGCAGAGTGTGGCGATGGAGACAGGCAATGGGATGGAGACAGCAGCAATGGGAGGCCGTACAGGGACCGGGTATGGCAGCATGACACACAGATTACTGGACCTGGCAGCAGCATGAGACCTGGCGGTACAGGGGCCCATGACAGATTACGGGCCTGGCAGCAGCATGAGGAGTCGGGGGCAGCAATGAGAGTCGTACGGGGGCCCATGGCAGATTACGGGCTGGCAGCAGCAATGGGAGGCCATGGCAGATTACGGGCCTGGCAGCAGCAATGGGAGGCCCGTAAATCTGCCAGCAATCCCAGCACCCTATGACAAAATGGAACCCACCAGCAGTGTGAGGAGACCTGAAAGTGGCACATGGCAGAGTGTGGCGATGGAGACAGCAGCAATGGGAGGCCCGTACAGGGACCCATGACACACTCTGGACCTGGCAGCAGCATGAGGAGGCGGTACAGGGGCCCATGACAGATTACGGGCCTGGCAGCAGCATGAGGAGTCGGTACGGGGGCCCATGGCAGATTACGGGCCTGGCAGCAGCAGCATGGGAGGCCCGTAATCTGCCAGCACCCTATGACAACAAAATGGAACCCACCAGCAGTGTGAGGAGACCTGAAAGTGGCACATGGCAGAGTGTGGCGATGGAGACAGCAGCAATGGGAGGCCGTACAGGGACCCATGACACACTCTGGACCTGGCAGCAGCAAGAGGAGGCGGTACAGGGGCCCATGGCAGAGTGGCGAAGCGTAAGCAGCTTAAATTGAAGGCCATACAGAGGCCTATGTTAAAAATAATAACATGTTTGGGGCATGATTCATGGCGGATTTAGTCAGTTGTGTCAGGAACTGGTGGTTTGAAATCCAGACTAATCCACGCCTGATTCATTTTCACAAACGTGAGTCTCTCCACACTTTGGGTGGACAGTCGTGTCCTCCGCGGAGTTACAATACCTCCTGCCGCACTAAACACGCGCTCCGATGCCACGCTACTGGCCGGGCATGACAGCCTTTCAAGGGCAAATTCAGCTAGTTGGGGCCAAAGGTCAAGTTTCGTTGCCCAGTAGTCAAGGGGATTGTCTACCTCGGTTGGCAGGGTGCTGTCCAAGTAGGCCCAAGCCTGTTGTTTGAGGTCCTGCTCCAGGTCCACCTGATGCTGCTGCTGCTGCGGCTGGTTAGTAGTTTCCTCACTGCGCTGGTGAAGAAAGCTACTCATCATCGACTGCAGACTGAGGCAGCCGTGCTGGTGGAGCTGCCACTGCTCCTACCACCCCACCCCCCTCCCCTGCTGCCATGGCAGCGGAACGCGAGCGCACAGGGCCCACAGTGTCTGAGGATGGACGTTGGCGCAGAAAGGCAGAGACCAACTGACTACATAGGTGGTTTTTATAGTACGTTATTTTGGCCTCCCTCTCAGCAGGTGTGAAAAAGGCCACCATTTTTGAACGGTAGCGAGGGTCCAACAAGGTGGACAGCCAAAAGTCATCCCTCTGTCTGATGGTTATTATTCGGCTGTCGCTACGCAAGCAACCGAGCATGCTATGGGCCATTTGTGCCAAGGAATGCGAGGGACTCCCTGCCTCCATCTCCACAGCATACTGCCACGGTGCGTCTGGGTCCTCTGTCTCCTCCTCCTCCTCTCTACCAGATGCTCCTGCTCCTCCACTCCTGTCCGCTGAGTGGAAAAACCACCCATTTCACTCAATAATTCCTGAGCACCAATGTCCTCCTCTACCCTCCTCCTCTTCTTCCTGTCCTGCCCCCACAGGGGTCATGTGGCGTTGAGATCTGTGCGCCACGTCTACCGCACCCTGACCAGCCATTGTTAACAGCATTTGTTCCAGGACGTGCAACAGAGGAATGACGTCGTTCATCCCATAGTCCTGCCGACTCACGAATAGCGTGGCCTCCTCAAAGGGCCTGAGCAAGCGGCAGGTGTCACGCATGAGCTGCCAATGGCTGACATCTAAGTTACACAGGGGAGTACCTTTATCCGCTTGTAACATCAGGAAATCGGTGATGGCCTTTCGCTGTTCGTAAAGGCGGTCTAACATATGTAGGGTTGAATTCCACCTTGTTGCAACGTCGCAGATCGCAGATCAGGCGATGCTGTGGAATTCCGTTCTGCCGCTGCAGCTCAAGGAGGGTGTGCTTTGCGGTGTAGGAATGGCTGAAATGCATGCAAAGTTTACGTGACATTTTAAGGATGTCTTGCAGTGGGATGGTGGATTTTAGGAACCGCTTGACAACCAGATTGAACACGTGAGCCATGCATGGCGCATGGCACAACCTTCCTTGACGCAGAGCAGACACCATGTTCTTTCCGTTGTCGGTCAACATGGTTCCGATTTTCAGTTTGCGCGGAGACAGCCATCTGTCGATTTCTCTGTTCATTACACTCAGAAGTTCCTCCCCTGTGTGACTACGTTCGCCAAGGCATACCAGGTGCAGCACAGCGTGACACCGTTGCGCCCTGCACATGTGATATGCCGGTCGGGTAATGGGACTTGGCACGGGGGTGGCGGCTGAGGACACGGCGGAAGAAGAGGTGGTAGAGGCGGACATCTTTGCTGGACCAAGGACGTGCAAACGTGGAGGCAAAAGCGGCGTGACCTGTCCAAGTTGCTGGTGCGGCTGTGCCGGCACCACGTTCACCCAGTGGGCCGTAAATGACATGTACTGTCCCTGTCCCTGACCGTAGTTACAGCTCCACACGTCGGCGCTGCCGTGCACTTTGGCAGAGACCGACATGCTCAAAGACTGGCCCACCATCTCTTCTACATGTGAATGCAGGGCTGGCACTGCCTTTTTGGCGAAGAAATGCCGGCTTGGCACTCTCCACCGCGGCGCGGCACAAGCCATCATTTCTCGGAAAGGTGCTGAGTCCACCACCACTTGGAAAGGGAGGGACTGCAGCACCAGCAACTTGGACAGGAGGACGTTCAGCTTCTGCACCGTCGGGTGCGTGCTCGCAAACTGTTGTCTCTTGGAAACGGATTCCAAGAAAGACTGCTGACGGAATCCGTGAAGAGGAGTAGCAGGAGAAGGAGCATCTGAACGAGCGGAAGATGCCAACGAGCGACAACTCCCCTCAGCAGAGGTGTTGGAGCCTTGACTGGCTGATAGAGGGCGATTGACGTCGGGTGACGGAGCAAGTAACGGAGCGGGTGATGGAGCGGGGGCTGGGGCAGGCAGAACCGCCGTATCTTTATCACGGTTTTCCCAGGCCACCGAATGGCGACGCTGCATATGCTGACGCAACGCTGTAGTCCCAACATGGGCCCCCTGGCCACGCTTGACTTTCTGGCCACATAGTCGACATACGGCTACGTTTACTTCCTCGGGCGGCTTGACGAAAAATTGCCACACCCGCCGAGTAGGAAACTTTGCCCCCGCTACTCCTCACTGGCTGACTGCTACTTCCTCCGTGCACACCGGCACCACTACTGGCCGTGGTGGTAGGCTGCAGTGGAGCTGGTGCTCTACTCCGTGGCCGTTTGCCTCCACTGACACTGCTGCGACCCTGCTGCCTCCTGGGCAACCCACCGACTGTTTTGCTCGCTGCCAAGCTGGCACCCTCTTCTCCTGATGATGCGGAAGCAATAGCCTGATGACGACGAGGCTGCCAAGTGCGATCAGCCTCATCATCATCAATTAGGGTCTCCGCCTCACTACTAGCCCCCTCGGCTGCGTGTGGGTCAGGAGACAGACCTGTCTCTAGACCGGCTACCGAGCCACTCTCCTCGCCAGTACTTCTTCGCCTGGCTGCTGAAGAGGCGGATGTCTCCCCCCGTTCCTGACCGCCCTCTGTTAGCTCTTCCTCACTGTACAGTGGGGCTGAGCCCACAGCATGCGATACTTCGCTTGGTGAGGGAACACCAAAGGACAGGGGCAGGTAGAGGACACGTGATTTCAGTGGGCTTGCTCCCGGGCCATGCCAACTAACGGTTGTGTCTGACGTACCCACCGACCGTTGGCTGTAGGTGTCAGAGGTGACCTGGGAAGAGGAAGACGACCGAGCCAACCAATCGATGACGGCAGGGTTGTCGGTGGAGACACGACCGCTGGATGACACCGGGAGCACTGGCCTCTGGCTGCGACTAGTGCTGCCTCGACCCCTTCCTCTGCTCCACGTCTGCTCGCTCCTCCTGAAACATTGCCTCCTCTGCCACTCCTCTGCGTGTTGTCTGACATACTCTTTAATTCAACGATTCTGTGTCCCTGAGTAACGATTCTGTGTCCCTGAGTAACAATTCTGTGTCCCTGAGTAACATTCTGTCCCTGAGTAACATTTCTGTGTCCCTGAGTAACAATTCTGTGTCCCTGAGTAACAATTCTGTGTCCCTGAGTAACAATTCTGTGTCCCTGAGTAACGATTCTGTGTCCCTGAGTAACAATTCTGTGTCCCTGA